ATTAAAGTGTTTTTAAAAATAAAAAGTCGTATGTTTTTAAAAAAAGATATAAAAAGTTAGTGATAAACGCAAGCAATAAAGAAAAAGAGTTATATATATCGCTAAATAATAGTTTTAAAAAAGAATATCGTATTCCGTTTCGTTTTGATTTTGTTTTTGCAAAAGGTTCGATATTAAAAAAGTCGCAAAAAGTATTAGTTATAATATTCGGCGTTAAAAAAGTCGTAGCAAAAGCTTATAACTTATTAAACGGTAATACGAAAAAGAAGATAAGTAAAAAGATTCTTAATTTTTGTTTAATAAACTTAAAGAGTAGCCTTTTACTTATACATTTAGAGAGGTCTTGATACGTAATAGGTCTATCACTTGATTACATCCGACAAAAACCTGCTAAGCCGTATATAAAATAGTTTTAAGCTTGATCGAAGGTAAAACGTCGTCGTAAAATTTGCTGCACTTTTATTAAGCGAATACGATTGATTTTTCTTTATTTAGTATTTTTTTTTAAATCAATCTTTTTTTTTAAGTTGTAAAGTATTATCGATATTTAAATTTGTTATGCGTTCGAATATGATTCGAAAGCTTTTCGATGCTATCTTTTTATTTTTAATTAAATTATAAAACGGTAATAGAGTTGTTAAGCAGCGTTCGTTCGTAAGTTCGAATTTCTTAGCTATTTTTTTAACGTAGTAGTAGTAGTAGTAGTAGTATTCGTTTAACGTCCACGGGTCGCTTTCTACAACGAGTCCTTTGACTTCTTTAAAGGTATACAGACGTGCAGCTAGTTCTTATATACATAAGAGCATAAAACGCATATAACGTAAGAGCAGATCTCGAGAGAATAGTATAAGTACAACGGTGTTTCTTTTTATTGAAACGGTGTGTAAAGAATATATTAAGCAAGCATACAAGCGGGTTTTTATAAAAGACCGAAGTCAATGTCGTATGCCGGAGCAAGCTACGCGAGTAGCTGAGTTTATAATAAAGCACTTAAGCTCGTTTAGTATAAAGTGAAAAAAAAAAGAAAAAAAGAAAAATTACTAGTAAATAACTAAGAGCTAAATAAGTATAAGCTTTCGTAGTAACGCTTCGATGTGCAAGATCGATTTACTATTAGTACCGAAAGCAGATTTTAAAATAAAACTCCGTGACTTTTAAAAGACTATAGAAGTCAATTAGCGAAGCTTTAAAAGAGCGTATATAAGCTGTCGCTTCTCGCGAGATAGAAGGCGGAGTAAGTGGTCGTGTCTTTTTAAGCTATCGATTGAAAAAGCGTTAAGCCTTTTTATAAAAGGCAATGTGTATTAAAGATTTGTCTTTCCGGTAAAAGCAAGTGGTTTTCGTATCTTCGTAGCGATACTTTTAATAATATTATATAAAGTCTTCGTGCTAAGTTCGTAACGCAAATAGTTTGTGCAATACGTACTTAAGCAAGTATAATTCTAGCAAAGCTTTACTTGCGTACTCGAGATTTTAATCGCGATATTAAATAAAAAGTTTCGTTTTATTTGCATTTTATTATTTGTCTTATGCTTGATCGATTAAAGTCTTAATAATAGACTTGATCTCGGACGCCGTAAGCTCGAAAGTAAGTTTCGGTGCAAGCTTAAGCTTTGCTTTTTCGTCGGCGAGCCGATCCGCCGTCTTGTTATTCGTGATGCCGGTGTGTTTCGAAGCTTATTTAACGTTGACTTTTAATTGTTTTATTACTTTTTAAATGCATAAGAACGCTTATTAAGAAGTAGCCGAAGCAATACTTTATATGTACTAGATTACGGACGTGCTATTTATATATAGTTATATGCGGTAATAAGTAAGGTCTAATAAAAGCCGAATCGCGTGCTCGAGCGCTTTTTAAGCTTTTATTGCTTTCGCGTTAAAGACGTACGATAAGTTGTTAATAGCTCTTTTGCTTATAGCAATCTTCTTTTATCTTTAATAAATAGCGTATCCGTACTCGATATATTTATGCTCGTTTTTATATTGCTTTAAGCTATTTAAAAAAAGAATAATATCTCGGTCGGTAAGTTAAGCTTATTATTCTTTGAAGTCTTTAGCAGCTTGCTCTTTTTTAACGCTTTAAGTAAAGTTTGTACGGCATTTAGCTGAGAAGTGAAAGTGAGCTAGCTTTAATTATAAGCAAAAAAAGAGTATAGCTTTTAGTTTTTATAGTTTTGTCTTGATTCGCTATCGAAAGCTTGCAATAAGACTTTTAATAATTATAAAAAAGAAGATGCGCTTAATAATTATAAAAAAGAAGATGCGCTTTATTATCGGGTAAGCTTCGTTAATTATTTATAGCTATAATGCTTGTCGCACTTTAGTCTTTTCGAGTGCTATTTCTTCGGAAGAAAGTCCGGCGTCTTTTAAAAAGGTGATAGTTAAAGCCGTGCGTTAAGTAAGAAAAACACTTTTCGCCGCGTAAGCAATGATCTTATTGACCGTGTCGATATGTCTTTTTAAGCTCGCGCTAACTTTTTTATTTAAGTTATCTTTAATTAAGTGTCGTAAAGGTTTCGTTCGTCTTTTGTATTAAGCTTCGATGCCGTATAAAATCGATAGCAGTACGCAAGTGATTATTGCTTTGCGTAACGCGTAAGCGAAAAGACCGTCCGCCGTGCGAGCGAAGCTTTTAATATAAAATGCTACTCGTCGTGCTTTTTCAGCTCTTTCGGATAAATAGCGTTTAAAAGTTATTTTTCGATCGAATTATACTTTAAATTATCGTAGCTTTAAAGTAGCTTTTATCGTCGAAAGCTGCGCTTAAAAGCTTAAAGTGATATCGTTCTCGTTTAGCTATAAGATAACTATATTTAAAGCAAAGTCTTTGTTCTTATAAAAGAAGTAAATCATTTTTATTTTTTTTAAAGCGAAAAAGATTTGATTTTCTACTTCGTAAGCTAAGATATTTTAAATATTTATCGCGAAAAAGATAATATTAAATGTAAGTAAGTGTGACGCTTTATAAATGCAAATGTTATTAGCGTATTTAAATCGTAATGTTATGTTTTAATTAAAAAGTTTCGCGAAGTATAGTATATATAAAACAAAAGATAGCGGTGATCTTTAAAGAGTGCTACATTTTACGTTGTATCGATCCGTGACCGCACTTTCGAAGCGCATTTAAACTTGTCGGTCGTTAAGAAAAAAGTGAATAAGCTTTAAGAAAAGAAAAGGCTAGCTTTGCTTATTTATGCGCTTAAAAAGCCGGCGCTTAAGTAAAGCGTCGAAGGCTTTTTAAACGTTTAGTATTATTATCGTGATAATCTTATTTGCTAAAAAAGCTGCTTTAATATCGTAAGTAAAGCAAGCTACGAAGTTTATAACAAATCGCTTAAGTAAAGCCCCGCCGTGCTAAAAGCTTAAAATACTTAAAGTTAAAAATATTTAAGCAATTCTTTTAACGATAATACGCTTTAGCTTTTTAAATATATAAGAAAGAAAAGCTATTAAGCGCTACGAGCGCACCGAAGTTTTGTTTTTCTTATTTACTTTAAGCATTATAATTACTTCCGTTAGTTTTTAATAAATAAAAAAGAAGCTATGCTAAAAGCAAGCGTTAAGCAAAGCGTAAATGTAATGCCGAATATGCTGCTAGACTTTTTTTAATAGCTTAATAGTGATTCGATCCGTACTTAGCGAAGTGCTAGTTACTTTTATAATACTCCGTTTTACCTTTTTAAAAGAGACGGTCAAGTCTTATAGCAAGTGCTTTATGCCGTCGTATTAAAGTTCTTTCGGAAAGTTATCTTTAGCGTTAAACCGGCCGAGTATAATCCGTCGTAATAAGTCTGCTTTTTTTTTAATGTTTTATACGGTAACCTTTTCGTATATAAAAAAAGAGGATTTAAAGTTAATAATTAGCTTATGCTAGCCGACTACTTTGTATAAGTTTTTATCGTTAGCAACTTCGTTTAATACTTGCATTTAATAATCCTTTTTAGCTTTGCGTAAAGCGTTGCAAAAGTGCTTAATCTTATCCGTTAAAACACGGTCGGTAAAGTTTTAGCGCGCTTCGATGTGTTCGTAATAAGCTCGTTTAACTTCCGAAGTCTATTAAAAAGCTGTTTTGCTTATGTCTCGATAAAGTATATTAACGGCTTTAATTGCGTTTTTAAAGACTTTCGCGAAAGTTAAAGCATTTCTTTTAATTTATATAAAGTTATAAAAGCTCGAAAAGTTTAAGAAAGTGTTTATGCCGTTGCGTATAAAGTCTTCGAACTTGTTTATATCTTTATCCGTTATTTTTTTATAAAACTAGTTTATTAGCATACGCTTTCGTCTCGAGATCGTAATAATCAAAGTCTAATAGTTTAAAGTGTTATGCAAGTCCTCTTTTACTATTGTAATAGCGTGCGGTATATTTAAAAAAGTAAAGTTTAAAACGTAGCCGAGCTAGTATATAAGTTTTTTTAATACGCCGATAAAGTTTATACCGCTCGTTATAAACTAATCCGCAAGATCTTTTCTTCGATGAATAATCCGAACTTTTAATTTAAACATTTCGTATTGCATATTATAGTGCTTACCAGCACTAAGATCAAGAGGAGATTCTATAGATTAAATAAAGCTTGGTATATTTTATTTAAGAAGCTCGTCAAGATCTATGTACATGTACTTAAGAGCTTTAGTATGCCAAAAGCGCTATTAAGCGAGGTCACATGACATGTCATATATAGCTTAAGTAGAGCATACTTATTCCGCACAACACACCTTTTAAGTCAGCAGAATAGCTGCTAAGCTGCAAGCAAACAAAAAAAAAAAAATGAGTGATTAAGCTCTTTAAACTTGATGTAAATAAAAAAGATTGTTATCGCAGTTCAAACAAACAAATGACGGTTGTCATTATTAATTAAATATCAGTTAAGAATACAATTCTTTCTTAAGTCGGTCTTATTACGTAGCGGAGGTCTTTAACGCCGTCTTTATCGCGTTATTATATAAGTAAAAGCGCGTCCGTTTCTATTATAATAAACACTTAACTTTTATCTATCTATACAATGCCTTTTAAGCAAGTAACTCAATCTAATAAAATCGTTAAGCGCGGCCGAAGCCGTTTAAAAGTAAGTGCTTTTGATAAATTAATATATCTATGCTAATTATTAAGAGAATCCCTTTTCTACTTTAGCTATTGCTGCTGCTGCAATTGCAACGGTTGCGGCGGTTATACTACGCACTTTTACCTTTAAAGATTCGCCTTTTCTTTTAGACCTTTTTATTAAGCGCTTGCTTATACTAACGACCGTTAAAGCTTTAAAATGCATCAAGTGCATCAATAGTGAGATTACATCGGAGTCTAATAAAGACTGCTATAATTGCGATACGAGCGTTATACGCTGTCTCCGGTATGCTAAAAGTAGCTATAGCAATTGCACCGCTGCTTTTACCGCTGCTAATACCGCTTTCGATAACTTCGTAAGCGTTAAAGACAATAATACTACATAAAGAATTCGCCGAAGTCTTTAAGATGTTATACGATAACAGCTCGCTTTAAATACTGCTTTTTTAAGAGATACTATTAATAGTGCGAGCGGTCTAGCGAATAGAAATAAAAGTTTTAAAAGTAGTCTCGATAGCTTTGCAAGTTTTGCTTTTGCTTTTAAGACTTTCAATTTGAATATAGCCTTTATTAGATTGAATAGTCTTATAGCAACGAACCGTAGTCCGATGACTCGGAGCGCTTCGAGCATATCACCCTTTCGTAAGTCAAGCTCTTTGACTTACGAAATAATCTAATTTAAGCAGCTCTTTTTAATTAAAACTTCTTTTCGGACTTTATACAAAGACTTTAATCTGCTGCTATAGCAGCCCTTGCGCTTGCGCTTGCCGCTTTTATTGCTCTCGTCGCTCTCGCAGCTCTCGTCGCATTTATTATCGTCGCTTTTCTTGCGCTAGTTGTTACGCTTGCCGCTCTCGCGGCAGCGCTCGCCGTTGCTATAACGCTTGCGGAGCGCCGAGCTAAAGTGAAGAGATTGCTAAGAGCTTTAGTTGATCTTTTGTTATAAAAGACGAAAAGTAGTAGCGTATAAAATAAAATAGAATAACAATTAAGATTGCTAAATAGATGTTTTCTTTTGAATTACGTGCAAATAAAAAAAAATAAAATGTAATAAATAAACAATATATGCGTGCTATTAAAGCTTCTCGATTAACGCGCGAGCGTCTTATAAATTCAAAAGCTTAATAAAGCTCTTAAACTTTTATCGAGTTAAGTTCTTAATAAGATTATCAACGTGTATCTCTTTAATAAAAAGATATTAAACTTAAAAGCTCTTTTTGAAGTGCTTTTAACGCAGCTATATATTATAAATATCGACGTAGCGAAGCTTAATAAAGATACGCTTCTTTTTACTAGCTATAAGCTTGATCGTTTATTGATTATTATAATAGACTACTTAAAGCGCTGCAAATCGAAGGTGCAGCTCTTTAAAAAATCGTTAAAGCGCTATAATCTCCTTTACTATAAAGGCTATGCTAAGAAGCTCCGCTTTAATAGATAATATAATAATTATATCTTGCTTTAAAGCTTTTTAAAAGATCGCACTTTCGAACAAAAACACAATATACTTTTAAAAAGATCGCTTTATCTTTTCGTCATCGGCGTAAGAAGCGTTAAAAGCTATTACTAGCTTTGATTTGCTAAACTAGCTGTATTAAATGCTTTTAAAGCGCGAGCTAAATAAATATCGCAAACATTAGTTTATAGCTCGGAAGTGCGCCGCGCTTAAATTAATGCTAAAGTAAAAGAGTTAAGAGGCTGCAAAAGCTATATTCGAGCGTAGTATAATCGTTATATATAGCACGGATCTAACCTTTTTTTAGTACTCTTTTACTTGCTTTTGCGAAGCTATCTTTTCATTTTTAATTAATTTATAAAACAGTAATAAAGTTGCTAAGCAGCGTCCGTCCGTAAGTTCGAATTTCTTAGCTATTTTTTTAATATAAGCGTCGTGCATAAGCGTTAGCGTTTTTCGTTAACGATCTCGAGCGACTCTTATATTAAGAAACCATTTAATATCTTTTATCGCTTTAATCTTATACGCTTTATTAAGACCGTTAATGATCTCTTGCGCTTTAAAAAGATTAAAGTGATAATATATAACTTAAATATCGTCTACGTAAAACGCTATAAAGACCGTTTTATTTAGATTCGTAAAAATACACGGTTCTTTATCGAATAACGTAAGCTTTAATTTGTCGAGTATACTTATAAAGTCGAAATATTATAAAGCTAACGAGTCTTTAAATCTATATAAAGCTTTATCGACTTTTACGAGCATACCTTTTTGCTTAAAACCGTTAAAGAGATAACACGTGATTAAAACGCTATCCGTATGTCTTATAGCGTTAATAAAAGCGTTAATAACGTCGAACTATTTTACTTTTAAATCAAATTCAGCTGCTATAACTATTATTATCTTAAACGATCTAGCTGCTAGCGTAGCAGCGTAAGTTGAATAGATAATAAACTCGTTTTAAAGGTCGCTTTTAATTATAATCTTCGATCTAAATCTTACGATCTTTTCGAACGAGTTAATTTTATATATAAATACTCACTTAAAAGGTATAAGTTTTGATTTAGCTTCGCTCTCGAGAATCACTTTTTAGCAGTTTCTTTTCTTTAGATTATTTAGTTCTATAAGAGCTCCGTCTTTAAACTCTTTGCTATATAAGTGTCGTTATAGCTCTTTTTAATAAGTAAAAGGTTTTAAATGTTTTCGTTCTTGCGAGTTAAGCTGTTCTAGTAATAGCTTAAACGAAGTAGTAGCTGCTATAACAGCGTGTAATATCTCGTAATCTTTACTATCTTCGCGTACGAGTTCGTTATTAGCTTAAAAAGTCGATATAAAATTTAAGACGCGCGAATAGCGGTTCGAGTCGGCGCGAAAGTTGTTTAATAGAAGCTTATTAATACTTACGTATATCTTCGCGCGTTTTTTAATACGGCTATTAATAAGTGAGTGCTCTTTATTAAAGTCGGAATTTTATTTAAAGTGTTTATAGTTTAATTTTTTATTATTAATGCTCGCTTTAAAAAGGTCTAATAGCTCTTCTTTGATTGTTCGGTTTAAATTTCCGTCGGTTATTAACGTAAAAGCTTTCGTTAATCGGCTTATAGCTTAGCCCTTCGAGCCTCGGCTTTAAATAACAATTTAAAAGTATGATTTGCGCGCTCTTTTATTAAAGCTAGGTTTTTGCTCGTCTACGATGCTCTTCTTTGCTTTTAGCAGTCTTAAGGCACTTTCGCCTTTGCTCTTAGTTAAAAAGCTAGCGAGACGTTTAGCGGTGTAGCTCGAATCGTCAAAGTCTATTAGATCGTTTCGTAAAGCAATTACTTTTAATATAAACGTATTTATAAAGTCTTTAATTAAAGTTAAAGCTCTTGACGTTTATACATCGCTCGGATTAGATAAGATCGCATTCTTTAAGCTTTAATTAGATCTTTTTAAATTAATCTTTATAAAGTCTAACGGCTGCTTACTCTTTATATCAGCTGCATTCGTCTCTTTTAAGCGATCTTTTGCAACGTTCTTTATATTAAATAAAGCGTCTTTTATTTAACTAAAGTCTTTAATATTTTTTAATTCAATAACGATGCTCTTGATCTCGCTAATCGATTAGCCGATCGATTTTTCTTCGTTTTTAAGATAGAATTGAGTCTTATCGAACGTTACGTTACGTATAACAATCACTTTATAAAGCACAAGAACATAAACCTTATATATATTAAAAGCTATATATTTAACCAAGTAGCTTATATATCTTTTTAATTTAACTTTAAAAGCTCTTTTATTACGAAGAGCTTCTCGATCCTTGATTATTAAGTACGTATAAGCGCTATACGCAACCAAACCGCTATAATCTGGTCTTAAGTCGATATCGATCCGTATAAAGATCGCCGGATCGTATTACTTAAAATATTACTTAAACTAAAGTTATAACACTTTATTCGGACTTTTTATAAAGCTCTTCGCTTTCGGTGTCATGTTGTAAAAGTAGATAACGGCTAGTATAGTCTTAAGCTAAAGCTTTTCTAAGAGCCTTGCTCTTATTCTCATTTTAATAGACCGTTTTATCACTTCCTTCTTAGCCTTCTCAGCTTTTCTATTAAGTTCGTAATTAAAAGATAGTAAGAGCTTTAATTCGATCTTAATCTTTTTCGCTTATCTTTAATATTCAGTAGAGCCGATAACGTTAACTGCGATTACCGAAGAATCGTTATTATAACGCATAATTGCTATTAAAAGACTATATTTGCGTTTCGTCTATGCTTCAAATTCTTTTAGCACTTTTATAACCGTTAATTGCAACTTGTTCTTTAATATAAAGCCGAATAGCTTTTTATTATATTTATCTTTAATTATTAACAACTATTTGCTTTCGTCGAAACCGTTAAAGAAGTCGAATAGATCTTAGGCGATCTTGTAAAATAGCTTAGCTGTTTTATTATTTAACGTACGGCGAAATATAACTTGTTAAGCGTGCGTAATAGCATATGCTTTACATTTAACCTTAATGATTCCTTTAAGTCTTATCTTTTTAGCGTTATAAGCTAACGCTTCGAGCGCTTTTTTGCTTAGATGACTTGTTTGTAAATACTAAAGTATCGATGAATCTTTTTTTAAAGCTTGAAAGACATTGCTCTTTTAGAATTTATAACGTATTTATAAGCGCTTTTAAGTTATAAAGAATATTATTAAGTAAAAAAAGCTACGAATCAATTAAAGCAAAGAATAATTGAATAGCTTATATTTAAAAAACGTAAAGTTGAATTTCTTTTCTAACTTTCTTAACACGACGCTCTCTTTAACTTTCTCGTAGCGGAGAATTGCGTTATATCTCGAGTACTATACGCTAGCCTTGCTTAAAAAAGCTTTCGAAATGATATTAATATTAAACCTTTTAACGATAGCGACGTTTTTTAACTTCAAATCTTCCGTCTTAGCTTTATTTAGTCCGTTCAAAGCTCTTTTAAAGACTTTAATACTTCGCTCGACGATTAAAAGACTATTCGTTTTAGCTTCGATGAAGTCGATTAAGCGAAAGCGTTGAATTGATCTTGGCTTTAAGAGATTCTTATCGTTGATAAAGTAAATAACGCCGTAATTGTCGAAAAGAATACTATTAGATAGCTAGTACTTATTATTAGCCGTGTTATAAAAACCGTCGAAAGCAAGATTATCGAGCGTGTTAAAGAGCTCGGGATCGATAATAGCTGTTAATACTTTTTTAAAGTATTTTAACTTATCGTTATTATTCGATTGCTTCTTTTTACTTTTTAAAACGATTTTATCGACTTAAATTTATGCTTAACCTTTTTTAATAATCTCTTTTCGGAGCGCTTTAAACTTAAGCTTTTAAAGCCTTTTCTTTATAGCGACGATATTATCTCGGTTCAGCTTTATAAATCCACTTTTATTAAGACCGTTAAAGCAATAGCGAAAGATCTTACACTTGATTGCGTCTTAATAGTAATTTCTTCTTTTAAAGCACGAGCACTTAAAACCCTTAATAAGTCCTTTAAAACTATCGAAGCGTTTACCGGATTGCTTAAAAGCAGTATCGTTAGCTTTATTACTTTCGGAAGTGCTGCGAGTAGTTTGATTTCCGAAAATAGCGAATACGTTAAAGAAATTAGAGTTCGGATTATTAATCTTCTTTTCGACTTAGCTTTCGTACTAATTAAAGTAGTCGTAAAAAGTGCGCTTTTAAAGCAATAAAAGCTCGTCGTTTCGAATGACCTTTGCGAGCTTTAGCGACGCTTAAGTTAATAACTATTTTTCGTTAATAGCTTTTAAAAATGCTTTTGTCGCGAGTATATTCGTCGTTTCGTAAAAGTCGTTTATCTTCGCTAACTTATAGATAGCTCGGTGTTCTTTAATCTATACCGCTAAAAAGACGCTCCTTTGCTTAACTGCTTGCAAAGATTTATTATAATCTCGTGCTATCGATAGCTTAAAGCTCGAGTCGAATAAACGGCATATTTCTTAAAGCTTTTTTATTA